GAACAAGGCCATCCATGAGCTGGGAAAGGCAGTGCCACAGCAGGGCACATAGAGCAAAAGGGATGGCAGGAAACAGCTTGGTTCACCATTCAGACGCTCTTTTGGGCCGAGGATGAACGCACGCATGGGAGAGGTGCAGGGTGCTTATATGGCTAATGTGGAGCCAGAGGTGGGTGCCCTTCTTTACACAGTGGCTCGTTCTGTCAAGGAATCAAAAATGCAGATGCTGGATGAGGAGAAACAATGTGCTCTGCTGCCTGGATCTAAAAAGCAAATGCAGATAAAGTGGTGTAATCCAGGCCTTGAATAAAACCCTACGACTGATCTGTTTGTGCCAGCTTTGTGTTTAAATTATACCTGTCACCTGCACATCAACAACCCAGCCTTACCTATCGAGATTGTGTCTTTTAGTGAGACTACAGGGAATGCCCACAGGCAAGCGGCCATGCAGTAGATGGACACAGGAAGGCAGAATCAGCTCTCAGCTGTCTGTGCAGAGGCTGCACCTCACAGAGCACACGGTGGCACCAGTGCTGCTAAGATAGCGGAGCTCCTGAGTGCTCAGCAACAGCTGCTGAGGCGCCTGGAGTGGCTCTGCCCACAGCAGGTCTCTGCAAACAACACTGTCCTCGCTGATCTGCTGAGGGTGCAGAGGGACTGCTGCAGGGATGCAGCTGTTTGGGCCTGCGCTGTCGCTTGGTGCCTGTAGTCACATCAACACCACGCAAATACTTGGGTTGACTTGAAAACACCTGTCTCCACATGTCTCTCTGGCCTTTCCTTATATAAATGAATCAGAGCTCAGACCCATGTTCCTCAGAGTGCTGTGCATGTGCAAGAGCTGAGGCCAGCCACATGCACATCTTGGAATGGGCTTGCCCCTGCCCCATGCTGCCCAGGTACCAGAAGGGGAGAAGGTTCCTTCTGTGGGCATGGAGCAGGCACAACGAGCAGTGCATTGTCCCAGCTGCAGTCCCAACCGTTCTTAGGCCTCCTGCTTGGGGTCGAGGAACTTGGTGGCTCGACAGCTGGGATGCAGGACTTACGTGACTCCCAAATTCCCAGCTGGCCAGAGTCCCAGCACTCCGGGTAATGCTGCTTTTCAGGATTTTCTCTGACCTCACCCGTGGCTCCTGTGTCAGTGACTTGGATGTGGCAAATGGAGGGAGCCTGGATCTCATCTCTGTCCTCTACACAAGCAGTTTAATCACTGGGCAGGACCTCAGAAAGTTGGCAGAGGCAGTGAGATGGTGCAAGGCCTGCACCCGAGCAACTCTTCAACCACGTGTGGGGCTCAGTTCAAAGGGACCACAGAGCCACAGTTACTCCTCAGACTGTCCCAGTGAGAGCAAATACAATACCTTTAGAGTAAAATTTCATATCCAAAGGGAGATGAGAGGTAGGCTGGTCAGGAGCATCACACAAGTCTCTGAGGGGTGTTGAACTTGTGGAGCAGGAAAGCTGTTCAAGCGTGCAGCACTGGGTTACACAGGCATAATGCACTCCAGTGCTCAAAGAGATTTTTAAAAAAGGGGATGTGCTTATACAGGGGAGTGGAAATGAACACCTGAAGTGGTAAGACCTTAAAAGTAGTAAAAATTGCATACAGAAGAGAGACTGAAAAAAGAATGTAAGCTCTGGAAAGTTACAGGTAAAAGGCAAGCCACAGAAGACTTGAAGAAAGCATCCTAAAGGCATAAAAATGAATTATGACTATGTCAGAAGCAGAAAGGGAGCCTGAGGGACAGGATGTGATTAGGCTCTATAGGAAGAAAAGAGCCATCACAGGAAGACTTGAGGAATTACTTGCATTACCCTTTGCTGTGAAGGAGCTCACACTAGCATCATTCTGTAGGGGACACACATTTGCATGACTGTCCCAAAGCATGCAGGGGGAAAAAAATAAAAATATTTTTAACTCAATTTTTAGAACACATGGTTAAAAGTCTGCCAGAAGGAGCACTCAGATGAATTGCCAAATACTCTCCTGGGTGAGAATTGCAGTGATCCCTGTACCAAAAAGTCAACATTGTTAAATATGATACTAGTTTTTAAAAAGTTCCAGTGGGAACCAGGAAACTGCAAAGCAGCTAGGCTGCTTTCTATAAAAGGCATGTTGTTAGAAAGGATAATAAAGTCTGGAAATAACAGGGCCCAGGATAAATGTGGTGTAGTGGGAGATTCCACATGGCTTTTGAGGGGGCAGTTGCAAGACACAAGCCTAGAGCACTCTTGGAGGAAACCAGCCATTGTGTATATAAGACAATCTGGTCCTCAGAGTGCACTTGGATCTCCAAAAAGCTCTCCCAGAAGGGCTCTTAAAGAAATTAAGCTGTCGTGGGAAGAAAAGGAAGGTCTGTGTAGTTTCTTACTGGAAATATTTTCTTAGCACTCCAAAGCCTTGAAACACATGAAACAAACATTTATTGCTGGACAAGGGTCTGTGGAAAATGCAAGCTATTTCTGTGTAACCCTTGTTTCTGCTCAAGTGGCACACAGTTTCTTCTTCAGTGTTTCAGATAAGTCTCTGTTAGAATGCACAACTGCAATCCCAGCACACAGTATAACTTCCTTATCACTCTCTTGCATGGAATTTCCTCACACATTTTGGACCTCAGTTCCTCAGTTTGCTCTGTGCACTCATTAAACCCCCCCACCCTAGAGCTGTGGAAGAGATCACAGGGCATCAATCACTGAACTATGGCAGAGCCACAGGAGCAGGCGATTTGCCCACCTAGGGCTGAAAGAGATAAAGGAGGTAAAAGTCTTTAGGGAACAGACAGTTCCTCCATGGTGTCTCACTGGGTGAAGCTCCAGGTTCCTCCAAGCAGCAAGAGGTCTGCAGAGATGGGGCCATGCCCCTGGCATGCCTGGCATGTCTCTCTGCTTTCCAGGGGCTTGTAGCCCTGGCTGGAGCTGGGAAGAGAGCTCAGAAGGGTGTTCAGTGTCTCCTGGACAGCATTTGCACAAACCTCCTGGTCCCACAGACCCAAGGGATTCCAATGCTGACTTTATTACTGCAGATTAATGAGAAGAAATAACTGCATTCCCAATGGCTCAGCAGCGAGCGTGGGGCTACAGGGGTTTCCTGTGTGGTGCCATGGCCCCGCTGTCCTTCCCAGTCCCAAGAACTGCTGGCACCTCTCACCCAGCCCACACTGCCACCGGCTCCTCTCTGATTCAGGGGGTGCCTGGACAGCTGGCAAAGCATCTTACAAACAGCATCATGCTTGAAAGGAGATTTTCAAAGCAGCCTCATTGGCACTCAGTGACATCCTAGTGATGTCCCTGCTAGCAAATGTATGGCCCTGACATGCTCTCTGACCCCAGGGTACTGGTACAGCCCAGCACAGGGGCAGAGCTTGCAAGGCTGCATTCCTTTGGAGAGCAGGGGCTGCACCCCAGCTGCTGGGACTTGGGATGACCAGGTGACCTCCAATTCACTGACTGGGTGAGGCACCTCCATGGTAATAAAAGACCCTCCTCCTGATTCCTCTGGGAAAAGCGCAGAATGATAGCAGCCTGGGAAGGAGTAAAGGACCTCCATCCTCTGCAGCTGCCACAGTTTCCTTACCCCCTCTGCAAGACACAGGAGAGGCTGGTGAGCACCTCAATGCCAGCAGTAGGAAGGGGCAACCCACCCCAGCGAGACCCCACATCTGGCACCCCTGCTTGGGTACATATGGGGGACTCTAGTCAGCCCAAGCCCAGGCAAACATCATTCGAGCATCTAATCCTCTGAAATTGTAGGCTGTCCTTTTTTTTTCATTCAGTTTCCATTACAAACCAGTACAAAGCTTGCCCAAGCTCTCCAGGGAGGCACAGTTTCCAACAGACATCCACCTTTCACTTACTGCGCTCACAAGCTGAAATGCAGACAGTGTCTTACTGCGTAGTCCCAGAAGAGGTCCAAAATCCGGCTGGAAAATAGAACCAGGCACAGCTCCGACACAGCTCAAAGAACAGGCCTCAGCTTAAATGTAGCTCCAGGCTGAGGGGCAGGTGGGGCTGGTCAGGGCAGTGATGATCGTTAGTGACCCAGGGTGTGGACAGCCAGGTTGGGAGCAAGGTTCCTATTCCCAGCTCTGAGTGTTAAACAAGGCACTCATGCACATTTTCATAGTCACCTAGACAGCCAAGGTCAGGGCCAGGCACACAGCAGGTTTTCAGCACTGGCTGTGGTCATCCTCTCCACTCCAAGTGCTGCTAAGCTGTGCTAGGAGTGACTCCATTGCAGCTGCTGCCTGTAGCTCATCCTCCCCCTGAGCAGCCGTGAGGGGGGCCAGATCTTTGGCTGTGGGACCCTTTGGAGCCAGGCTGATCTCTGTGTTTGCCATGAGCTGCCCCTCAGCTGGCAGCCTCACTTGTTGGTGTTGCACCTACACTGTGCCTGAGTGGCTGGCTGCGGCTGGGAGAAAAATCACACTGCAGATGCTTTTAGACTCATCAAAGTGTCACTGTTAGATAAACCCAGAACATTTGCGATGATGAAAAGGCTTATTTTTTCAAGCTTACGTGAAAAAGAACTTGTTCTGGCACAAAATTCACTGTTATCCACCAGCCAGTAGCCACTTTTGAAGGTGTGGATGCTTTGACATTAGCCACAGCCTTTAAATCAACAGCAAGACTTCTCATAAGAACTTTTTTTTATTTCTGAAAGTACTGTTTTTCACTGGAAAAAAACCTCACTTGAATGAAGCATGTCTACATGGCTCTTCTAAATACTGACTCGGAGCTTGATATGTTGTTAAAAGAAAGGCTGTGGGCTTCCTGAAGCCCCCCAGAGAGCAGCTTGGCCCTTCCAATTTGATTACCTGATCTCACCCCAGAAAGACCACATTTTTTTCCCCCCCGTGTGAGCTTTGAGAGAAGAAAACAAAATCCAGAAGCTGCTGGGGCCGGGGCCAGCTGCAGCAGGCCGGCCGGCATTGGTTACGGGGCTGGCAGGGGTCCAGCTCCAGGCGCTATATAGGAACGAGAGGGGGGAGCTGGGCTGCAGACGGAGCCACTGCTGCTTGGTTTAGCCATCACTCACACTCTTCTCACGGCTCGAGGAAACTACAGCCTGCCAAGATGTGCAAAGGATTAGCAGCGCTGCCCCACACGTGCCTGGAGAGGTGAGAACAGCCAGGATGCCAGGGGGCTGCCTCCCCGCAGGGTTCTGCCGGGGCAGCTGGAGGCACAGGGGCTCTTCCTTAAGCATGTCCCCGAGATGAACATCTCATATGGGGACTGGGATTATCCAGCTCTGAACTGGGAGGGAAGGGAGGCTTTCTGGGGGCGGCTCAGTGGGTGCTGCAAGTGGCTGGGACCCTTAGTGGGGCGAGTGGTGATTCAGTTGCAAACTACCCACTCTGACTTGGGAACCTCTCTGCTGGGTGAGTTTGGGCTGCCCCAAACCCGCCCCTCTACCCCTGCTGCTCTGAGCAGGAGTGCATTGTTGTCAGATCTTAATATTTGCAAAACATGGAGGAGGGGAGGAGGAAAAAAGCAGAAAAGAGGTTTTGCCTTTCTGAGGCAAAACCAGCCCTGGCTCACAAGTGCTTTTAAATCCTCTTTAACTGCCTGTGTCTTGCTCTCACACGGATTAGCCAGACCTGGCCCCTCTCCACAAGGCTCAGTTCCATGCAGAGCACCAGCTCTGCCTGGTTTGTGGCACGAATCCTCATCTTCACGCCTACCCACCCGGGTGCTTTCCTCAAAACCTGCCCCTGATGGTGTTGGTGCTGCCTCCCAGGCTGCTCTCAACCCTCTTTGGAGCCACAGCAAGCTCCAGCCCCCAGCCATTTCCATGGTGATTGGAATCTGGGGTCTCCGTGCGGCATCAGGGCACCCGATGCTTCACCTAAGGAGGAAGCTTGGGAAAAGACTATACATGTGAATCCCCCAATGAGGATTCCCTCATGGCTGCAAATGCCTCAGCACTGGTTTTTGGATGAGAATGAGGGGACATTCACTGTCCTGGGGGGAGCTCCAGAGAAGTCCCAGCTGAAGTTGTGGCACTGGGGTCTGATGCTGCTTGCCCAGAGGCGAGGCAAATTCCCATCACAGGTACAAACAGGAGCATGGGCCTGTGGCAGTTTCTTTGTTGGAAATGTGCCTTTGGGCCATCCTAGTGACTCCACTGCCTGCTCCCCTGCAGCCTCCTGCGCCACAGGCAGACAAGCAGCACTCTTCCAGATGCGGGTGATCCACGTATTTCTGTTCTGCTATCCCCTTTTTTTCACTCTTCTGATGCTTTCTAATACTAAATTTTCTTAATAAAGATTTTCTCCCCCTGTTGCTATGCTGATGCTTTCACCTGTTGTGCCCTCAAATCCTTGCTCCTGAAGGCAGCTTCACTTACACTTCCATACGCAGAGTCAGGACCGTGTTTGCCCCCTGCACATCACTTTGCACTGCTCTGTGAGGCATTCTGACAGCTGCTCCACTGCCAGTCTCATGAGATCTTCCCGCAGTTCCTCACAATTTGTCCCTGAGTGCCATACCTGGGGAGTGCAATATCTGCTCCTCGGCCACTGACCCCCTTCTCCCCACGTGTGTGACGTTTAACAGCTCGGTCCCAGCCTGTGTTCCCATAGCACCATCCCCACAGTTGTGTGCTACCTTTCCCACGCTGTCATCCATGAGATGGCCTTCCCCCCTGCGGCTGCCTGGGGTCTGGAAAGCCCACCCAAAGTCCCCTGAAAACCCAAGGGGCTGGTACCCCCTGACTCCTCACAAAACGTGGTTGCTGGCCTCTTCAGAGAAGGAATCTCTTCCTACCGCCAGAGCTGCCTTGACTTCTCTCCAATAGACCATATTTGTCCATGTGTCCACCACAGATCTGACACAGCTGCCACTGACGTGCCCATGCAGCATCACAGTTGCAGCTTTATGGCTCCTTGAATCCCCTCTGGAGCCTTTTTCCCCTCAAGGGGCATTTCCGCTCACACCTTCCTGCCCTTGGGCACAGCAGCACCTTTAGCTTTCAGCTATAGCTTTAACTCCTTTGAGCTTCTATTTTTGTTTTGTTTTTAAAGCTGGAGTCTCTCCTGGGCCTCCGAGCAGCCTTCTTGCTCTTGATGTGTTTGACAGAGCCCATATTTTCTATTAATGCTTCTTGGAAGCTGTTTCTCAGACTTTTTCTTGGCATTCTCCCATCTGTTCTCACACTTAACCTTCCACCGTTTACGGTCCTCTTGCTCTTTTTCACTTGGCCATAGCCGGGTTTTTTTGAAGGATACCTTTTTGTTTATAACTGCCTTTTTTACCCTGCTGTTTAGCCTTTGCTGAAGCCTTGCTTGAAAGCTTGCAATCCGTCTGCTGGAGGACGCCAGGATGGTGTCTTTAAATAGCCCTTCCCTTCCTCAACCTGCAATCTCTCAGCCCGCTCCAGTCCTTTCACTTCCTTTTAGCAACCTTCCTCACCTCTGCTGCCTCCATGGATTTCATGAAGATCCCACAGCCAGGACTTGCTCAGTGCAGGGGGGAGGTTTTTTCTGCTGTCCTGACACCAGGACTTGCAGGGCTCCAGTGGGGTGGGCAGCCACTGGTGGTCCATTGACAGCACCATGGGATGGAACAGGATGGATCCATCCAAAGAGTCTCACTGGGAGCAGCATGCAGTGGGGCTGCAATATAGGTCTAACACCACTGCACAGCACAGCCTGAGAGAAAGAGGCCCCAGGGCTGAGCTTAAATGGAGCCCCATTAACGTGCAGGGTGTGGGGCTCAGCTGGAGCTGCTCAGGGCCATTAGGGCCTGTCAGTGCCCTTTGAGCCTGACAGATGTTGCCCATAAGTCACTGTCAGAGGATGGGAATCAGAGAGAAGGACTTTGAACCAGCTCTGAGCATTATCCAGGAGAGTACTTGCTGCTGTGTGAAACTGCCATCAGTAGCATCCCAAGCACCTTGTGCATGTCTTGGCTCATCTACACCAGAGCAGGGGGGTCCCCGGGTCATGTTCAAACAGCAACAGACTACTGGTCCTGTCCTCCCAGCTCCTTAGGTCACCATGGGCTAGATTTGGCTGTTGGTGCCCCTGCTCCCAGTACAGCTCGTGTTATCACCCTGCCTACACGGTACCTCCTGCATCCACCATCCTTGCTTCAGAGGTGGGTGACTTCCCCCTGCTCCTGCCAGATGAGCCTCTCATGATAGGGCACATGGTCCAGTTTCCTGGAAGTGACTGTCCCTGGTGCACAGCACCCAGCACTGGCAGTGGGTTGGCCATGGCAACATCCACAGCTTTACCCTCCCTAGTGTTGGGCTGTGGCAGGGAGAGGCACATGGTGGCAGCCAGCATTTCTGCTCAGCCCCTCTTTGAGAGATTCTCCCTGAACTCATGTGTCCCCTTCCCTGCAGGGACCTGTAGCCACCAGCACAGATGTTTGGGAAAGCAGATCCAAGGGAGAGGCTGTTCTGCCCCAACAGCTTTCCTGTGGCACCCTCTGCACCCACCCATTGCTTTGGTGCTAATGGGGCTGCAGCTCCTTGCCTGCTTCACCTGCTCCTCATCACTGCAGCCGTGCCATCCTCTTTGGTCAGGGCCATGCCATGGGTGTCCCAGCATGGCTGTGATGGCCAGGAGGGTGCCTGAGGCTTGCAGGAGAGACAGTCCCAGGCACTGGACATCAGGAGCCAGCTCCAAGCTTTTATCTGCATTTTATTTATTTATCAGAGGGAGCAGGACAAACGGTACACAGCAGCATCCCTGTCCCAGACACCTCAGTGTGGGAGCATGGCAACCTCATCACCTTTTGCCCGAGGTTCTGCTCTTTCCAAGATTCAAGTTTTCTCAGAAGCACTAGCAGCGGGAACTGCTAGTCCCTGTAGCTGCTGACATTTTCCATGAAAACAGTTGGGTTTCTGGGTGCGTGATGCCCCGTGCCGTACACCCACGGCGGGTGGTCCGTGCAGCCCCAAGCTGGGCTGCTCACTCTGGCTGGCCCTGCTTTGAGCTTTCATGCAAGGGTGGCTGTTTAGAGGCAGATTTCTTCACAGAAGTTGGGGGCAGCTGGTAGGGAGCAGAGCAGACGCCCCTGCTCCGGGTCTCAAAAAGTCGCCCATGGGGACTGGCGAGTGGAAACCAAAACACAGAGAGAGTTTTACAGGGAGGGAAAAAAATTAAAGGAATTGCAATAAAATAGCAGACATAGCAAGGGAGCAATTATCCACAGAGGGCTTGTGAAAATAAACAGCAGAGAGGAAAATTGTAGGGAGCCCTGAAGCCAGGGACCTACAGCCTGGCTGTGCCAGCCATGCCAAAAGCTCAGCCCAGCCAGCCTGTGAGGAGCAGTGTGTCCCCTTGCTCTCCTTCACCTCCTCTACCAGCAAGACGACCTGGAAGCCATCAAATGTTGCTGTGTCAGGGAAAAGTCCTGCCCTGCAAAGATGGGGCTTGGGGTATCTGTTTTCACCCCTTTATTTCTTCACCCTTATACAGCACACCTCAGTGTTCCCTGCAAAAGCTCAGCTTGCTTTTGCTACCATCGCTGAGCTGCAGCAGAGGGGAGCCTCGTCTACAGTTTTAGATGCTCAGGACCTCATTGCAAATTGTATTGCACAAAAGGGAATGTTTCAGGAGACATCTGGGCCTGCTGTCAAGCCCCAGGACCCCTCTTGTTTCTGCTTCTTCCAAACAGAGGTCTAGGGCATGGCCTTGGGGCAACGGAGAACTGGCATGAAGCTTTTGGCAGTCAGAGTATTTCAACTCCTGACAAAACTGTTCTTCCCCCTCTGCCCCAGGGAAGGCAGCACTCAGGAGGTGTCTATTTGCAGTGTCTATTTCCCATTGCAGATATAAAGTTTACTTATTACACTATATATATATATATGTATCTCTGAGGGTGTCCTGCTCTGAATGCCATCGGCAGTGCAGGGCTGGCAGGCACAGGGTGGGACAGGGCTCGGTGGGGCAGGCACTGCCGTACAGCCCAGCACGGCACCCCCACAGCCTCCTCTCCGGAGACAGCTCCTTCACCTCCTCACCAGCACTTCTTCAGGCTCATCACTATAGAGACTGAGTGCTGCACACACGGCCCTAATTCACCATCAGAGCAGCCCGCCAGCTCTGCTGATACAATTATCCCAGCCACAGATGGGGATAGAGTGAAGAGATCAAGAGCTGCCGCTAATGCAAAGCGCCCGGTTTGAACAGCACCAGCCAGGCGCAGCCTTTTCAACATGAGGGTACATTTGTTCATCTGTAAGTAATTACAGAGCTTTGTACTTCACCAGGGGCTGTGCAGGGCAGGGATTGTGACTGTCCCCATTGCCCCGTTCCTCTGCCTGACCTACCTCTGCTCCTCCCCTCCTGCAGGGCCAAGGAGATCAAGACGAAGCTGGGCACACTGATCCAGAAGCACGACTCAGCCATTGACTTCATCATCCCCTACCCTGAGAAGCCAGAGAAGCCGCCCAAGGCCCAGAAGTGAGTACTGTGCTGGGGTGGGCTGTGCTGGCACCTGTGCCCAGCCAGTGGGGTAGTTATGAGCCCTTTTGGGGTGCAGAGGAGCTGAAGCCCTGCTGGGGAGGGGGGCACAGGAGGCTCTACAAGGCAGGCAGCTTGTGGCATGCTCTTCGTGGCCTGACTGCTAAGTGCAGGCTCAGGAAGTTATGTCAGGGCAGCATGAGACATGTCAGGCAATACAGCTCTATGGAAACTAAATTTCCCATGGAAACTCAATTTATTTTTTATGAGATTTCCTGTTATTGGATAAAGGTTTTTCCCAGAGGCATGTGGCACTTGGACTTCTCTGAGTCACCTGCCTCAGCCCAGAGGTGCCAGCCTTCACGGCCATCTGGCTTTGGGATGGCAGCGTGTCCCTGAGCTGGCTGTGTGACCGTATGGTGTGATGCCTGGCTCTGGGCAGCTCTGGGATGATGGCACCTCCTCACCTTATTGCCTTTGTCCTGAGCCACTGCTCTCCGGCACTGAGCTGGTGTATCATATTGGCTCTGCTTTATCAGCATTACTTAAAGCACATGAAACATTAGTTATTTTACCTGCTAATCCAGGCTGTGGTGGGTGATATACAGGGGGAGGCTTTCTGGCAGGGTGCCTGCTCACCACAGTGCTGCCTGGCAAGAGCTGCCCAGATCAAGCAGGGCAGACAGAGCTGCCATGCCCCAGATGCCTCTGTGACCGAGACACATTTGTCCCCATTAGCTGTCCCCTCAGAAAGCCAGAGAACATCCTCTCTCCCCACTGCCTGGAGGAGTTGTTTTCTCTGCACTGCAATGTTGTGCAGCCTTGTCATCGCTCACCTGTCAGAATCTCGCTTGCTGTTAATATCATCCCTAGGACATTCAGATAATGGAAATGTGAATTTGGTAGTTTCCAGGAAATCTGGATTGTGTTGGGTTACTGCAGCGATGCTTCACCTCATGGGGGTGAGAAGTCACCTGGCAGGAACAGGGAGAGTTTTTGATCCTTGATAGAAGTACAAATACAATTTGAGGTCCAGGAAGTGAACAATCAGAACCCCCTGTCGTGGTCCTTACTGCTGCAGTCTGATGACAAGTGAGGCCAAGTACCCACCCTGAGCAAGCTTTGTTTTCCTGCTGTTCCCCTGTCTGCGCTGGAGCCACATGGGCAGCACGGCTGGGCAGCAGCACTTCACTTCCCCCAGACCCACCACTGAAGCATCAGGCTGTCCTGCCCACGCTCCTTGGGATGCTCTGCTCACCCAGGGGGTTTCAGCCCCAACACATGGCTCCTGTGGCAGCAAAACAAGTTGCACAGGGGCTTCCCTTGCCTTCAAGCCAACACCAGGCATTGCCCTGGTGGGTCACAGGGCAGGAACTGTGAGCCCAAGGCAGCTTGGCCAAACTCCTTGGAGCTTAACTAAAACAACAGGAAAAAGCCACAGTCAACCACCCCCCCCAACTCTTTAGTCACATTGAAAAATACAGCAAAAAAAAAAGAGGAAAAACCTCGCAGCTGGAAAACACTGGAGGTTTCCACTGGGAAGGGTGCCGAGGCCATTGTCCTGCCTTGCCTTAGGGCGTGGGAACGGGGCAGGCAGGCTGTGGGAGTGGAGGGCGCTGACCCCAGCCCCAGCAGCACAGGGCCGAATGACCAAGCCCCTGCCAGCAGGGAGCATCCTTCCCCACCCCAGCAGGAAAACACAGAGATGCATCCCAGCTGCCTGCAGAGCTCCTGCTCTGCCATCCCATGCACAGGCAGTGAGGTAAGGAGGAGACCTGTGGCTGCAGAGGGGACCCATTTTGCAGGTCAGCCACATCTCTGGTCAAAAATGGGGGATTTCGCCTGCCCAGCCCCATCCTCACCTTCCCTGGCGCTCGGCTCTCCCCAGGAGGAGGGCACTCGTGCTGCAATGCAGCAGCATCACCATTTCATCCCCAGACCATCACCTTCACTCTGCAAGTCCCTGCAGATTGTTACTCCAGTTCTCCACATGTTTAAAGGAATTATTTAAAAACCTGGGGCCCAGACTGGGGCTGTGGGGTAAGCATAGACCACCTGGGCTTTCTTTACTCTCTTCAGGCCATCACCAGAGGAGGCTCTGCAGTGGCGTGATTCCTTGGAAAAGCTCCTGCAAAACCCCTGTAAGTTCACATCCCCCTGTGGTCAGTCACCTCCCCTCTCTCCACATCCCCTGCTGTTGCTTGGCCCCCCCGGCACTGCCAGTGCTCAGCAAGGGCTCGGCCCTCCCACAGATGGGCTCTCCAGCTTCCTCACCTTCCTGCGCTCCGAGTTCAGCGAGGAGAATGCCGAGTTTTGGGTGGCCTGTGAGGACTACAAGAAAACCAAGTCCCCTGTGAAGATGGCAGAGAAGGCCAGGAAGATCTATGAGGAGTTCATCCAGACCGAGGCACCCAAAGAGGTCAGTGGCCATGGGGCAGGAGATGGTACTGGGAGGGGTGAGGCTGCTGCACTGTTGGCCCCCTTCCCATAGGAGAGTGATGGCTGCAGGGGCTCAGAGGGCTGTACTTTTGGCAAGGGCCAGGCCCATCCCCATGTGCTGCATTCCCACCCTTCACAGCCCTGGTGCCCCTGTTTTCATGCTCAGCCTCTGCTGGGCTGTCTCCTGCCATGGGCACCTTCAACACACGCCTGTCCCCCTTTTCCTCACAGAGGGCTGACATTAATTGTAAGGGATGGCAATGTACAGTAATCCTCCTCCACAAGTTAGCTTTGCTGCAGGACAGACCTCATCCTTACAGCTTTGCCACTAATAATTCCTCCAGAGAAAAGAACTTGCTTCAGTCTCTCCCCACACCCTTTGGGGCAGAGCAGGTGAGGGAAGATGCCATCACCCACCCCTCTAAAGGCAAGGTCCCCATCCCTCTTACACTCCCATCACAGGTGAACATCGACCACTTCACCAAGGCTGTGACCATGAAGAACCTGGTGGAGCCGTCACCAACCAGCTTTGACATGGCCCAGAAGAGGATCTTTGCCCTGATGGAGAAAGACTCCCTGCCGAGATTTGTGCGGTCGGAGTTTTATCAGGAGTTAATCAAGTAGCAATGTGGCAGGGCTGTGCAAGGCATCCCCACTGCTTCTATCTAAACACCCGCCCCTTCTCCTGCAGCTGCTTTGCTTTCTTCATACCACCCTAGAAGAGCACCCAGGGATGTTGCTAAACATCTCTCCCCGTGCTTTGGATTGTCAGATGTCCTGGTGTTTCCTCTCTTCCCATCTCTTTCCTCTCCCACAGAAGACCAATTGCAGAAATTCCCTGGAGTTGGGACCCAGAAGGGTGGCAGAGCAGCCCCAGGTCCACAGTGACCGGGAGCCACTTGGACATCTGGCACATCTCTGGTGCTGCAGAGCTTGGCATTAGCTGGAGGCTCTGGGGTGCCAACGCTGCCTTCTTAGGACTCCTTAGGACATGACAATTTTTCTCACAGTTTTGCCCGTATCACTCATTTGGCCCAGGCTCGCTCCCTCCTCCCAGCTTCCCAGGGTGCTGCTGAGACTGCGCAGGTACCCTACAGGTTCTTCCCTCCCTGGCCAAGGTGCGGGGTGAGATGTGTCCACTGCCTGATTGGCATCATCTTGTCTTCAGAAAGCAGCCAACCAGCAGGCATAGTGACAGCCGTGCAGGGATGGAGGCAAAGCAGGGACAGTGTGACAGCCATACAGCAGGGATGGCAGGAATGGCAGTGATGGCTGTATGGCAGAACCAGGAGCCCCAGAGTGTACCTGGCAGGCACGAGGGGTGAGCAGAGCGAGCCTGCAGCACTGCTTCCCCAACAGCTCTGCTCGGAGTCAGTGCTGAGACAGCCTGTTTGCTCCACACTAAAGACAGTAAAGAGGGTAAAACAAGACCTGTTTGTCCAAAACACCAGGACTGTTTAGCAACCCAGAACTCTCGCTCTCTCCAACCTTTGCACCATGTCCTGAGCCCTCAGACCACAGCCCGTGCCATGTCCCAGTGCCAGTGCACAGCCCTCGCAGTGCTGGTGTCTGTGGCGTGCTGGGATGGCAGCTCTGGGGGTTGCTGCAGGGGTTTCTTGCTCCAGTCACTTCTGTCTGCAGTAGGCATGCCAAAGTGATACTTCTGCACAAACCCAACCAAGGGGCATCGATCAGAGGAGGGAGGAAAGTCATGTTGGGGAGAAAAAAAGCTGCAATTGCAGCTGTTCAGATCCAGTTTGAAAAATCCAAACCAAACCCAAAAACCAAACCCAAATTAAAAACCGTCATTGGAAACATGAAAAATAAACCCCTAGATTCTTGAACAGATGCAAACTACTGAGTTTGTGTAGCCTGCATCTCCCTCTCCTGTCTCCTCCCATCTGCCAAGGATGTGTGATTCCATAGGCTGTTTCTAAAAAGACCAGCTCTTTTCTGATTCAAAGCCAGCCCTCTGCTAACAGAATAAATCACACCTGAGGATGGGGCAAGGGCATACATGAAAAGCAGCTGGGATCTTATTTCAGCCTCGAGGCAAATGCAATGAACCACTGCTCCATAGGGCCTCCGTTTCATCCCCGTGATGGTTTCCTGGTGCAGCATCCACAGGTCATGGCTTGCAAGGAGCTGCTTCAGCCAGCAACCTGACAGATGCCAGCAAAATAACCCATGTCTGTGCTGCCTCCAGGCATCCCAGACCAGTCCCCTTCCCTGGGCTGCTCAGCCTCGCTGCAAGTCATGGGACTCCATGCAAAATGCAGTAACATAAACAACGGATTTGCCAGCCTCTTCAAGACTTTCAAAATCTGATCAAAACCCCACCAGCCCCAAATATTTACATGTTGTCACTATGGTGATGAAGAAAAATACATCCCGAGCTGCAGGAAGTGGGCTATGTTTTCCAGGCAGGAGTGGGGAGGCAGGGAAAGGATGGAGGCAGTCACAAATGTGACTTTTTTTTAAACACTGGAGCAAAAGGTCTGGGAAAGTTGGTGCTGGAGCAGCAGGGGTGAATGCAGGGGGTGGCTTGGGTGCCCCCAAAGAGCCCAAGGGAGCCCATGAGCAGCAGGAGGGTCCCACCGAAAGGGCGCAGGATCCCCCAGCAGTGCCCACTGCTCAGAGCTGGGGAGGCAGGAGCAGGGCTGGGCATGGGATGGGGAGCTTAGCCAGCTCCTCTGCTGCTGCATGGTGCTCCCACCACCTCTGCCTGCCCGTGCTCCCTGCACTCTCCCAAAGTCTCCATGAACTGGTGTCAATACAAGCGGGTTCAGCACGTTCAAGCTCCTTATTTACAGTGTGACTCAGAAATGCAAAACCGAACAGGCTTCCCTGCAGAAAGACCTAGATCTTTCATTTCTACTTAATCCTTTGGCAGCTATTTCCAGATTCCCTCACATGTTTCAGAGTTAAATGCCACCACCAACGCCATAAGGTCGGGATGCTGCTGGAGGCTATCTTGCTATGCACCATCAGAACCTGAGACGTCAGTAGCTACAACAGCTACAGTAGCGTGGGGTAGGAAGAAGGTGTTTAGGTTTGCATGTGCTGAAAAGAAAGGCGGAGGCTGGATTCAGGAGAGATAAAACTGGAAATCCCTCCCCAGCTCAATTTCTGCTAAAATGCTGGAAGTCTACTTTGAGGGCTGCCAGTGATCTACTGGGCAGCCATAAAATGTGGCCCCTGAAGCATCTTGGAGCTCTTGGGAAGTTGTGTTTGTGTGGAAGGGTCATTTGGCTAATTATATGAGTAGGCTCTCCCAGAAAGGTGGCAATGCCTGTACCCAGCCCATGGCCCAGCTTTCCACAGGCCCAGAGGTATTTACTGTCGGGCTGACACCAACCATCATATTTCTGGTAGGAAATACTTCATGTATTTTATCACTCTTGCTCTCTTGAAATACAGCATATATGGCACTATACACACAACATGTACATCTGTATTCCTATAGTCTTATATAAGTATAAACACACACACATATACATACATACTCGTAACATGGGCATCTGGATCCCCTGTGAGTCAGAGAGCCAAAAAGCAGAGTTTCTGGATATTGTGCTTGGGGTCCATCACAGAGATGCATGGGTTTAGCATGGTCCCAGACCCTCTCAAAGGAAACCTTGGCCATCTGCCCAAGTGAACATGATGGTACATCTTCCAAAACATCCTCTGGGATCACCCTGTGCCCACAGCCCTGGTCCATCCTGGCGCCTGAGCTGGTGCAGGAGGCACGTCTCGTGCTCTCCGAGGTACCCCAACCTCTGCTGTGGGGCACAGCCAGGGTCCCTGGGCACCAGGCACTGCCTCCACACCTCCCTGGCGCCCACTCTGTGCCACAGGGACATGTGGAAAAGGGCTCTCTGCAGCTGCATCCCTCAGATTAACGCCAAGGATGGCTTGATGTGTGTTTTATGGTGACTTCAGTGACGAGGAGCCTTGCACCTCACCAGCCATGATGTGAACCATGGAGAGACCAGCTATTGCCCCATGTGCTGAGGCAGGGCTCTGCCTCAGCTGCCCGGTCCCAGTCTCGGGGACTGCCAAAGCCTCTGACACAGTGGCAGCCACAGGGCTGAGGGTGTCCCGGGGCTCATCCAGGCTCCGCCCAGCCCTTGGTCACTCCCTGGAGGGTGCTGTGTTCTGTGGCCAAGGTTAGGAGCGAAGAACAGCTCCTCACACCTGCAAGGAGGTTTTTGGTCTGAAATTTTCTGTGTGATTTCCACTAGAGACCTCACATGCGGGGAAGATGTGAGGTGCTGGTGTGCAGAGGAACTGGTTGTGTTAACCCATATTCTTGTACCACTCAGTAATCCACACATAAACATGTATTTCTGCTACTAACTCAATGGACTGTTCATTTTGTCTATTTGCACTGAAGGTGCAGTGTTTCCTTACCCTGTACAGGGCGCTCCCAAAACTTGTGCTCAAAAGGTCCTGGCAAGACCAAAGGCCTCTGAGAGCTTCTGCTGCAGTGATGTAGCGACTGAAAGTAAGCTGAAAAGGGAGCAAAAGTATCTCCCCAGGAGGCTGATCCAGCAGAAACTCCCCAGGGCCAGGGCAGCACAGGCACTCCCAGCCCCACTGTGTGGGTGCTGCCTTGGGCTTTGGCTTGCAGGGTCAGCTCACACACCAGTAGCAGCAGCTGTGGTGACACAGGGGCTGAGCAAAGGCCAGCCCTGCTCCCCCCACTGTGTTTTGGCCCAGGAACAGGTTCAGTTCTGAACTAAAACCTGTTACCTTCTGGAGCTCCGTTGGGAAAGTGTCTGTAGCAAGGAGGTACTCCTTGATATTCCCCCCTCCAAAGCTGTTAAGGGGTGCCTCACACTCACCCCAGACCCTTGGCAAGGATGGGTGGTCCCTGTGCTGAGCTGATGGTCAGGAACAGCACGGATCCCTAAAAGCCTGACATCCCCCAGGCTCACGGTGTTGAGGGTGTCTGGAGGACATAATGGGTATTTCATCAGCTGTGACTTAACCTATGAGTGAAGCCACTTTTAAAATGACTCTTTAGAGCAACCTTGGCCAATGAATTGGATCTTCCTGCGTTTTCTTTGGTTCACACAATGGCATTTTAGAAGGGACTAACGCAAACATTTTTATTTAGAATGTATTCATCATTATTTAAATATCAATACAGTTTTTGCAATAGTTATCAAGAGTTCCCAGTACCAGGGGAAAATAAAACATAGCCACATGCTTGGCTACGTTCAGCACTTTAGCAAGCCTCTCCATCTTTTAGCTGAACATGCAGGGCAATACGTGTTAGTACATTGAATAAATACAAAATAAAGCAAATGTTAAAAAAGGCATTTGTCTATGGGCCTGGAGAACCACATCCTCCTCCTGCCATGCCAAAACCTTGGTGTGAGAACTGTTGTCTGGACTGGGATGCAGAGTGTGGAATACACAGTTGCCAGAGCAGCGATACCTAATTAAGGATAGACCAAGGGCTGGGGGAGAGTGAGATACCTGGTGCTGCAGCCCAAAGGCAGCAAGTTCTGCAGCTGCTTCTTGTGCTTCCAACTGCAGGTCACTGCCAGTCCCAAAGCCCACAGCGAAGGCCGTGTCTAACCACAGCAATTAAAAAGTAAGATGCCTTCTGGCAAAGCCCAGCAGCAGTACTGAGATAGACACATTCCTCCTATCATCTTCAGGAAAAGTGAGCCATGCTACTACTGAAATGCAAACTCACGTAAATATCACTATAAAACCCCTCAACGTTTTCAAGTACTCCCAAGCAGGGCCTTTCCTCCCCAGCTGTTGTGGTCCTATTCCATCACAAACTGCTCCATACAAGCCAGGACAGGTAAATCTGAATCCAAATGGCACTCCCAGAGTCAGGAATATACATCTATCAGTGTGGGAGAGAAGGAACATGTTTCTCTTCTGCTCAGCTAAATTATTTAACCTGGGAGCATGAAGGTCACAATTAATAATATATGAAATAATGAACCTCCACCAAAATAACAGCTCTGTAGCTCTAGGAAAGATCCTTGCCCAGCATAAACCTGAAGCTACAGAGGGAGCAGCAGCCAGAGGGAAGAGCTTCCCTGTGATGGTGGCTGTGATGGTTGAGGGAGGCTGTTTGAGAAGTTTTGGTCTCCCTTTGAGAACAAGCAGGAGCTCTTCCTATGCCTGATTACTGCAATGCAGCACAGCCTGAGCTCTGAGCAAACACTTCTGACAGCCTAGACACATTTGGGAGTTATATGAACAGCTAAGGACCAGAGCAAGTCCTTTTCACCTAAGCTTTTGTGTATTAGAAAGGGGAGATCACAGTCCTCGATGCTTCCCTGGGCTTCCTCTCTGCCCTGCTCCTTGCTGGGTGTCACGGGGTGACACCGCAAGCCTGGTCCCTCGGCGGGCAGTGCCGGGGCTGGGCAGGAGCTCCCAGCACCCGCCTGGGCTCGCAGGGCTCGCCAGACCCACAGCGGGCACGCCGTGAGTGCACCCAGCCTTCCTGTCAGACACAGACCCCAGCACTCCACACCAACCGAGTCAGAGGAGGGTTTGCGACAGAAACTGAGCCTGGATTGGGTTACAAATGCTGGCTGTTGCATGACATGGGATACAACTGGGACATTAGACAGCTATTGGAGACAGCTCTGTTGCTTCATGCCAATGAATGCTTTTGCTGCCGTATATTCTTGCAAGAGCCCAGCCCGCACCTGCCTTGCTGCAGGTTCAGGCACACTGGGAGATGATGTTAGAGTTGCAGTCTAAGGAGTGAGTATGGTTTCTCTTGCAGTTTTCGGGCCCACAGCCAGCCCCAGGTGGGCTGACCAAGTCCAGGTAGTAAGGGGACTTGAGGAAACGGCGGTAAGAATCCTTTTCCATGAGGGTGAATATTTTTCTCTGAGCCTCATCAAAGCAGGACAGTGTAGGCTCCAGCATATTGTGGCTTGTCTTCTCCCGTGTGCATGAATCCAAGTTCACCTGTGGGCCAAAGGGACAGTGTAAGTAGAACCCGTCCCAGAAGTGGCTGGCACAGGAAAGGGAAAATCCAAGTTTCTCTCCACCAAGTGTAGTTGGTGAGCTGTTGTCTGAAA